CAACATTGGTCTTGATCATTCTTAACAATAGTTCCACATAGTGTAGGAGCTTCATCAACATAATGTTATAAGACTTTGGTGTGGTGTACTATATTCCTCATCTCTACAACTAAAAAGCAGCAAATAATTTTGCCACTCAGCCGTGGTGCGCACACCCTCCGCAATAGTCCACCCCGACCATCGTTGTCCCTCTCCATGCAAAACAAGAAAAAACATCGTCATCCACACGTCCCCTATCATCAACGGTAGCAAAATCAGAAGGCATAGGCCCTCATCATCAACACCCTATGCATGTGCTGCTGTGCAGCTCCTTGTGCATCCCCTCGCATTTGCTCAGCCCTGCATTCCTTGGTGGTTCAATTCTAGAATGAGACATCACGTCATGCATCTCGCTAAACATAAGGCATCAAAGCATGTCTAGATAGCCATCACCAACGTATCACGACCCACTCGTGCCAACTACATAATCATCATCATCGCAAACATCATTACCATTTAAATCTCAGTTTTATGAAACCTTGCATACAATTTCTGTATTTTTGGACACTCCAGTGTCCTACCAGATAGTCCGACGGACCCCACCAGATGGTCCGTGAATGCACAGCTTTGGACTTCTTCAGTCTGCACTAGCATGACACTACCGGACGGTCTGGTGAAGCAGAACAAATAGTCCGACAATGGATCCCATGCACCATAGTTGATCTATCTAGCTCTCATCTCCCTTGTACACCTATCAAAACACATGTCCACACTCCACAAAATTGGACACCAGCAAGCCATCCCTCACTCTCTCACATACTCATTCTCTCTTGCACTCTCTCTCTCTCTTATTCTTGCTTCTCATCCCTCTCTAGAACACCTAAGCAAGAAAAGGAGGAGGATTTGGAGGGAAGGAGCTATGAGGAGACTACCATGGAGATCACCAAGGAGTGTGCTTGCTAGTGATTGAAGGGGAAGGAGTCATTTGTCTCTAGCAAGGGAAGAAGGTGGAGATTTCAAGGAGAAGCGAGACAAGGAAAGAAGAAGGATGTGTTGAGCACCATCCACATCACTAAGGAGCTTTGTTGCTCTTTCTTCATGTTTTGTTAAGCTTAATCCTGAGCTATTCCATCTAAAGATCCTAGAAATCAAGATTTAACTAGTATCTTACCTAGAACTCTCCCCAATAGATGTTTTTGTGAATGAATGCAATGTACAACAATGCACTTGGTTAGATGTGATCTGGAGGACCCTAGGAACATACTTGCAAAGCACCATACACATACAAACACTCTAGATGCATGCACATTTCATTCACGAATATCGTGAATTATTCGTACTAACTTCATTTTTTTGCAAAAAGATATTGTGTGTACACCCATATCCTCTCCATATATTCCTCAAAATTTGACCAACATTCATCTAGTTCTAATCTCCACCTTCACTGTCTCCTGCCCTGCTGCCTAAGTCTAGAATGCAAAATTGTAGATACATGCTAATTATGTTGCTGTGTTGTGTGTGCTAAGCGGCTGTGAGGTGTCATTGTGTACTGTTGCTTGTTGTTAGTTGTTACTGTTAATAGTTTGTTTGGTTACTACTTACTACTAGCACATTTAAATGCTTACTAGTTTATGTATTCAATTTGTTATAATGAGTATGGGATAAAGTAAGATGCATTTATAGTATCTCATCCCTTTGCAGTAAGATATGGCTACACAACAGGTTGCCTAGCCCCTTGGGCAACACTGCAATGAATCTGCCAGCTGCAAACCAATTAATAACCGAGAAGATTCATAGACCTCAAAAGAGAGAAATTCAATATACATCTTACTATCATAGTTGGCTTCACTGCATATGCCCGCAGACCTAACAAATTCAGTCATCAGTGCCTGCAACCTATGAACTATTGATTAGAAAAAAGCCCAACATCTTGAATTTTTGTGCCTTTGGTTGCAAGTTTTACATACTCAATAAAGGCACAAAATTGAGCAGGTTTGAGAGAAGATGTGAGGAAGGATTCTTGCTAGATATGCATAAAATAACAAGGCATGTAAGGTGTTAAATAAGACCCATGGAATAGATGAAAAGTACATGATATGGAATTTAAAGAAACCAATGGATCTCAAATGGAGGATAAGGATCTAGAAGATGTGAGAGGTGTTAGTTTGCAAAATGCAATGAAGAACATGGCTATTGGAATATTTATGTCCCTTTTTGTTTGGACTTCACTTCTATGATTTCTTAAGCTTCTTGGTTGTCTTATGAGGTCTTTAATTCTAACGGACCAAGATCCTAAGGGTTCCTCCTCGGTCAACGTGTAAGAATATTAGTCGATAGTTGTGCTACCCATAACATCATAGATATCAACCTCGCTAGGCTCACAGTAGTAACAGAACACCGCATCAACAAATCTGTGTTTGTGGATAATGGAACTAATCGCCTGCAGTAACACCTCCTTCAATGTCCCCCTCTGCGTCGACATAGAGACATTCCGCATTGACACTCTTTTACTAGACATTGGCAATGACATTGATGTCATATTGGGGACACCATGGTTGGCTAGCATTGGAATCATCACATGGAACTTCGAATCGATGGCCATACAATTCCATAGGAATGGCTACAATATCAACTTCTCTAGAATCTCGAACCCCCAGGAACGTCGAACAGTCCTCGCCATACCTGCACCGACACCTATACAACTATTACCAGTGCAAGCCGAACAACAACAATAGCCACGCTACAACATGCTTCGCACTTCGACACCACAACAACCAAATGTATTAGATAGAATCAACAACAAAGTGGCTGTCTTCGATCAGCTCCATCAAGAGATCCTACAAATACTAGAGATTAGAACAATAGCTCTCGTCATAATCAATAGGGAGGCACTGACAACATGGTGTTTGGATCATGGCCTTCTATTATTCGAAGGACGATTCTACATTCCGACCTCATCCCCATTACTACCGGACTTAGTGGACACATTGCTACTATGCGGCCACATCAAAAACTTATAGCTACTAGCAATCGGCTTCCATGCCCACCAGTGACGTCGGCTACAACCTTCATCTTTCCATCAAAAGTCCTCATGGCCCGACAACGGCCCTAAGGCATTGTGCCTGACGCCTCCATTGTCTTCTTTGACAACTTGGGGTGCCAATTCATGACAGTGGGACACACCCTCGGCATACAATGTAAGACATCAACACCCCTACTTTCACCACATGAATTTTATGTAGGAGAATTTATGTTTGGCGATATGCTACACTTTACAACCAATCAACCAAGATGCACCACTACAACAATCTGTCGCCGCATGATGGGCTACAACCTCCCTAGCACCAACAATGTGGTGCACGGCTACAAACGACCCCAGCAGACACTATGCCATTTCACTATCGACACCGACATTGATCAACACATCTTAGTGTGGGCGCGTTAGGAACATGGAGTGACAACCCTAGGCACATACAACTTCTACCTCCATGGCTACATCGGTGACCTTCGCTACTCCCTAGAATTCATCGTCGACCAAACCCACGACAACAAGATCCGCGCCTCAATAATGCGAGGCCGCCTCAACATCTGCATCCAAGCGACACCACCAGTGCGACTAGCACTAGACAATGGAACAATGCATGGACAATGATTCGGTGTGAGGACGCACTGAGTCGAAATGGGGGGCTATGTCATGCGCCCAATATGGAGCCCCGATGACAGGCCCAATGGGCCAAGTGAGGCTCAGCGCAGGACGATGGTAGGCCTGCGGCGCCTCCTGTGCGCGGCAAGAGGAGGGGGCGGCACGACTAGGCAAGGGCGCCGCCAGGGAGGGCCGCTGCCACTAGTTGGAAATCCTCCCCCAAGAGGAATTAGAATAAAATAATAGAGATTTGTTTAGGAAAAATAGATTTAGATTTTGTTAGGAGAATAAATAATTACTTGTTATAAAAGTAGCCCAGATCTATAAGGGCCCTTTTTCCAAAAGTAGATTGCTTAAGGACAAGTCTCCTTGGACTATAAATAAAGGGGCCCTGTAACCATTCAATCTTAAGCAAAAGAAATAATATGTTCCCTATCCCTCTCTCTATCACGCCCGCGCCCCTGCCCTAGCCACACGCCGCCACCGCTAGCCCGACACCATCGCCCACGGTTGCCTGCCGCCGGCGTGTCAGCGCCGCCGTCCAACGCCACCTCCGCTCCACTGTCCCTAGGTTGCCCCAACCGACCAGAGCCTGAGTAGGACCATCACAAGAATGCTAGCAGTACACAATAACAAGATACTCACTACAATCCAATTATAAAATATTTTGGCTTTTCTAGATAAATAGCTTTCACTATGCACTTAGATATGCACTATGACTAGATATATATTAAGGCAATGTATAAGCCAAACAACAACAACAAAGCCTTTAAGTCCCAAACAAGTTGGGGTAGGCTAGAGTTGAAACCCAGCAGAAGCAATCAAGGTTCAAGCACGTGAATAGCTATTTTCCAAGCACTCCTATCTAAGGCTAAGTCTTTGGGTATATTCCATCCTTTCAAGTTTCCTTTTATTGCCTCTACCCAAGTCAACTTCGGTCTTCAAAATGTCTTATAATTTTCAATGGAGTAGCACGTTAGCAGTAACAATATAGCCTAAATATGAAAATATTATAGGTAACATATCACTAATGATAGTGATTAGTGACCTACAATAGCAATAGTAAAAACATGTTGTTGGGTAGATAATATCTGAAGACGGGCTTAATGGTAGCAAGTTTATGTTAGAAAATAACAAACTTGACCAGTGCTAACATAAGACATTCTCGTACGTCCATCTCAAGTATCATCATATGTCGATAAGATAACCATCCAACCAAATTACGATGACTTGTATGTCCACGAAAACAAGCTAACAAGGCATCCTCATACGGTTGTGGCCAGCAACAAACTGATCGCCTCTTTAATGTTTAATACCCTCGTTGCATGCATTACAACACTCGTAATCCATATTTTCCTTACTGGCCCCTTGATGTCCCTCACCATCTCATGGCACTCACCTAAAAAGGTGTCACAAAAATATTCACATGTTAACAACCCAAACGTAGAAAATGTACACCCACATGAAAAGATATAACAATTTTCACATGCTAACGGTCCAAACTAATTGACAGCTTCAAATGTAGGAAACTCACATGAAACAATATTTCAAGCAAAACGGTTAACCAAAAAATAGTTGAGCCAAGACTTAACAATGAATAGACTTAAACTGAACCACTCGCTAAAGCAACAGTCGTCGATGGTGGATACACTGAGGACATGTATAGGCTCAGTATTCTTACATGCCTGAAGATTTGGAACCAGCATGAGCTCAGCGAAGAATAATCTCTTAGTTGAGTGTGAGTGTGGGGTGGGGGTCGCAGTGAAGTTCACGTGGGCATACGTGGTGTAATCTACGTCGGTGGATCACTTAGACAACAACACCTTTGTAATCTCAAACTTATGCTGCATCATTTGACAACATAATAGTTGCTAAGAAGAATGTAGTGCCAAATAGACTGTCTATTTATAAAGAGGTAACATACCGTTTTCTTGGTAGAGTTGTACCACTCAAAAGCAAGAATGGCAAAGTGTTGTGCATGAGAGTAAATTGGCCATCTAGAAATATCTGATTGCCTCTCCACCTCTTCAGCAATTAAGTGCTTCTCACTGCAAGTTGAAGTTTGCTTAATTGGAACTAAATAAACCATAAATGTAATAGGGTTGAACATGCCATAAAATGTGAGAGTGCCATTTTGTACAATTCAATTCACATAGTTGAATATTAACTAGTTCTACCACACATCATTAAAATCTAGAACAAAGCATGGACTGATTGCCTAAAAATAAAATTAAGGTAGCTCTTAATAGATAACTTAGACATAGTTAGTGGAACCATACTCCCTTGTGCTTGAGTGAATTTACAAACACAATAACTTTGACTAAAAAATTGGTGTGATTGTGTGACCAAACAACGTCCGGCAATTCAAAAATAGTTGGATTCAGATTATGCAGTAGATATCACACTTGTTTGAATGGTTAACAGGTTAGTGTAAAATGCAATGATTTCATGGAATAACATAGCATACAACAACAACAACAACAATAACAACAACAACAACAACAAAGTCTCTTAGTCCCAAGTTGGGGTAGGCTAGAGTTGAAACCCAATATGAGCCCCCTAGTCATGGAATAACATAGCATACTATCTGAAAAATACTAGCAATGGGACTACTCAGTGGTAGTTTCCAAACTAGAGAAGTCCAAAGTCATGCGTTTCTTGAGTTGTATTGCTTGTGTTCAAGTAGTATTGAAAGATTGTTAACTCAACATGCAATGACACAGGTATTAGGTCCACTTAGTACAAAGGCATTGTTATGCATGGAAGCCTCAAAACCCTCAAACATTTATCTTTGCTGGCTATGCATCCCCCCCATGCATGTAGCTGCTAGAATACTTCCTCAAACTGTATTGTCAGTGTGATACTGCATGCATCTTTTGTATGCCATGTGGGAAAATTGAGGATGTGAGCTGCTATTTCTAGCTTGGTGTTGATCTGCTCGTGATGAATAAAGTATCACAGATGAATGTTAGATGCCATGTAATTTTCTTGCGATGTCTAGGAGTTGGCATGGGTGTTTAGGTTTATTAAATATGCAATGTCTCCAAGCAAACATGCAGTTTGGTCACACCAGTTCTTTTGTTGCAGGCTGCATGTGTGTATTGGATGAATATTTTAATTAATTTATAATAGCCTATTACACATTATATATTTATTAATATATCCTATTATATTGCGTTCATGTCATTTATGCTTATTCTCAATCTAAATTGCATCAAAGAGCAACAAAATGACATACAACGAACTTATCATTCTTGATCATGGTTGCATGCATGCATTAAACATTTGGTAGACAAACAAATAGATGAGTTTAGCTGTCTACACGCGAGTTCCCAAGAACTCGCCGCGATAAGACCACGTATGTGGGTGGTACATGCCCTTAGCATGCTACAGCAGTAACAATATAGCCTAACTAAGTAATGACATATCATAACTGCTAATGATTAGTCATCGACAATAGCAATACTTACATTGTGCCGCTGGGTGGTTTATATATCTGAACACAGGCTTAGTGGTAGTCATGCGGCGGTAGAAAGTGGCAAACTTGAGCTTCAAAGCACGAAACTCAACCTTGTCCTCCTCCATGTACTCCGCGTGTCACAGAGACCATCATTCGCTTCCTCCTCCAAATAGAATGTTTATAATAGAAATGGTTTGCTTTTCCACATCGAAACCATAGCTTCCTCTAACATCGCCCGCTTTGACCTCTCCTCCATCTCCCCCACTCCCTTGACCCTTTTCCACCACCTTCATGTCCACGTGAAGAATGGGAGGTCTCTCCTGCAGCAGCCCAACAGTCCCATGGACGGGGACTGATCATACCTCTCAGTCGACGTAATTTTCTGATCCGCCCAATCACAACCCTGAAAGTCGACTGAATTTTTTGATCCGCCACAATCACAACCCAGAAAGTCGGTGGATTTTTCTGATCCGACATAATCTCAGCCCTGAAAGTCGACGAATTTTTCTAATCTATTCTCGTCACCTACAGACGGCCCGTGGAAGGGACGGATCATACCTCTCAGCCCTGTAAGTCGGCGCAATTTTCTTCACTCCCTTCAGAGTCGCCCTCCATAACTCCTCCGACTACCCCGCCCTCCTCCGTATCAACTCCGGCAGCCTCACCATCCCTACCTTCTCCGGGGGGTCGACGGCGCATGGGATCCTCCTCCATCGCCCGGGCATCCTCTGCCTCGCGGCCGTCGCGGATGGCCCGTTGCCTAATGCCCCAACGTAACTCCGGCGCCTCCGTTGACCGGATCAATCTCCATGTTCCAGATTGGGTTGATAGAGCAGCTAGTTTTTTATTTATTTCAATTGGACGGCGCGATCGGAAACTAGGGCCTAGGCCTTTTGGGGTAGGGAATCTATAGGGTCCAAATCAGCTTCGGCACCGATAGCCTGACATCGGCCCAAGACACGGGGAGGAAGGGAGGCCCAGGTTGGACATCGAGCAGAGCTCGGCCCAACTCTATGAAAAAGTCAGCCTAGTTTATTTCTCCCCATTGCTAATAAGGAAAAAGTCCATATTACCTCCCTAAATTTTTGCAAAAGTCTGGTTTTCCTCTCTGAACTCTAAAACCGGGTAAACCACATCCCTGAACTTTTAAAACTGTTTGTTTTACCTCCCTGACCGGTTATAAGCGATTTTCAAAGGCGGTTTTGTCTTTTTCTTTTCTATTTATTTCGGCTAAATCTTTGAAAAATCATAGTAAATCACAGAAAAATCATAAAATAGAAAGTTCAATTTTGTTGGACTGCACATGAGTAGATCTACACAATGAACATATAATATGATATGCTTTAGTACAAATATTTTGTTGTAGCTTTAGATCTATGCGTTTCTATAATTAGTTCATAGCTGCAGTTTCTATGGTCCAATTATGGTGAAATTTTTATGGTGTGCTAATTATTGTATGCTTGAACTGTAATAAAAATTCCATACTCATCCAATCATGTATAACTTAATTATAGATTTAAAATATTTATAAATCTATAACGAAGTTATATATGATCCAATGAGTATAAAATTTTTACTACAGTTCAAGCATACAATAATTAGCACATCATAAAAATTTCACCATAATTGAACCGCAGAAACTGCAGCTATGAATTAATTACAGAAAACATTAATCTAAAGCTACAGAAAAAAAAATTTGTACTAAAACATACCATATTATATGTTTACTATGTAGATCTACTCATTTGGAGTGCAACAAAATTGGATTTTCCATTTTATGATTTTTTTGTGATTTACAATGATTTTTCAAAGATTCCGCCGAAATAAATATAAAAGAAAAAGACAAAATCGCCTTTGAAAACCGTTTATAACCGGTCAGGTAAACGAACGGTTTTAAAAGTTTAGGGACATGGTTTACCCGGTTTTAGAGTTCAGGAAGAAAAAACAGACTTTTGCAAAAATTTATGGAGGTAACATGGACTTTTTCCTCCTATTAATCTCCTATAACCTGCGTGGTGATTGGGGTGATAACGAAAACGATAATTCTCAATTTCCGGAGATTGTTTTCATGATTTTCCCGGTTTTTAAGCTTAAGCAAAAACAGATTACGGAAAAACGATGATAAGATGACTTGGACCGAAAGCAAAAAAACGATTTTATATTCTTGATTGAGAAATACTGTATTTTGCCGTCTTTGAGAGGTCAACTGCATGTATAAAATATTGTAAAATCCTTCAATTTTCTGGTCAACTACCTTTTTTTTATACCTGCATGTATGACCACTTCTTTCTTCTATCTATAATATAAAGATATGTTGTAAAATCCTTCAATTTTTTGAGATTTTGCAAATATTTTTCAATGCAACTCTACACATGTAACTTGCTTGTTTTTGTAACTAAAATATTTAAACGATATTTATGTTTGTAGTTTTAATGGTTTGACTACAAAAGTTTGTTCCAACTCCTAAACGATTTTTTTATGACTGCAGATAGTAAAGAGAGATCTACATAGTGTTTTTCTCTCACAATATTTCAGCTAGAACAATGTTTTCAGCCAAGATTCAGCAAGCAGAACGAGGCCATTGTTTGTAGTTCATGCAAACTTTGTCTCTTCTTGCACTTCATGCAAACAAATTCTTGTTTGTAGTTCTTGTTTTTCAAATTACGGCAATATTATCTTTGAAAAAAAAAATATACTGCAATAGTCCTTTCTTATACACTTCGGCATCTTCATTCAGGCACCTTCAATTTTCTTGTTCCCAAACAAAGCCATAATGCTTCTTTCTAAGACTCGATGCTGGATATTTACATTTCATTGTACAGCATTTTCACGCTCCAAAAAAAATGGCAAACAAACAGCCTATAAATCCAATACCGCACCTAAAATGAATAGTAATAAAACTATGAGAATTCCAATTCGAATTCCAAAACCTGAACCTATTCCTGCAATATACACAAGCCTTTCCTGCTATCTACTTTATCCTGATGGCTCCAGCTGCTGGAGTCCCCTTGCCGGGAATCCATGGGAGCGGCCAGCCAGACCGTTTCCCCACTGATCTCTTCAGCGCACCAACGTCTTCCTCGTCCGAGTCATCGACGTCGTAGTCATCGTCGTCGTCGTCGATGCAAACGCCTTTCCCTTTCGTGTAGTGCTGTCTCACGTCAGGCGTCGTCCGCTCGCTGAAGCTCTCGTACAGGTCAGGGGAGTGGCGCAGCAGCTCGCTAGCTGACCCGTACCCCATCAGCCGATGCAGCCGCCCCACGGCTTTCGTCCCGTCGAGGGTGTCGAACGACGTGTTCCTCGAGACGGGCAGCCGCTGCTCGTCCTCCGTCGAGTAGCTGCTGAGACCGAAGGCATCGATGAACGGCGCGAACGGGTCGGATCGTTCGTCGCCTTTGCCGCCGTGCAGCTCGGAGCCATCTGTGCTGCACCGGTCGACGGAGTCCTGGTAGGCCTTCTTCCTGGCCGGGTCCCTGTAGGAGTAGGAGAGGACGGTGGAGCAGGAGCCGCAACGCAGGTTGCGCACTGTCTTGGTCGAGACGGCGAAGTCGGCGGGCACCTGCACCAGCTTGAAGCAGCTGGAGCAGACGATGAACGGCGCGCCCTTCAGCACCGGCCGGCAGTGGTTGCGGGGCGGCAGGCGCCGCTTGGGCTCCTTGCCTGCCGGTGGCTTCCGTGGCGCGGACGGCTCCTGCGCTCTGGGCCTGCAGCAGTATCCTCGGCAGCTGCTGCACTCCGGTTTGCCGTGGTGGCGGCAGCAGCCGTGGCCGTGATGGCACGGCCTCGGCTCCACGTTATGGCAGCACGGGTGTGCTCTGCACTGGCGGTAGCGCCGGGACGGCAACCCACGGGGAGGGGCCGCGGCTTGACGGGGCTTCACCGCACGACCTGCGCTGCCACGGTGACCGTCGGCAGCAGAAGCGACGTGACGAACTCTGGCAGGGAGGCCCGAGGCCGCCGCCGCCGGCGGCGCACGAGACACGTAGCCTTCTTGCTTGGGAAGACGAGGAGGGCGCGCGCGTGGCGGATTGAGCTCTGGGGAGTTGCTGAAAAGTTCAGACAGGTCGCCTTTCAGCTCATCCACCGTCTTCAGAATCTTCTTCCGCAAGGGCCCCAGATGTTCTTCTTGAAGCTCATGGCGAGATGGACTCAGCGCCTTTTCGCCGGCATCATCAGCATCATCCCGTGCAGGTTGAGCAGCTGCGGGTTGAGCTGATGATTTCGGCACAAGTTCTTGGCGATGCTCATGGTGGTACTGCGGTTGCACTGCAGCTCCACCAGAATGTTTCTTTCTGGCAGCATCGGTTGATTCTGCATGGCGTTTCATCCCCTTCTCTGTGTCATCCTGCGATTCAGGAGTGGTATCTCTGTTTCCTCCGGAGAAGCCGGCACCATCGGCGCCGGGCTCTGCACCATCGGCATCACTCGGTCTGCAGCCTTCGGAGTCGTCACGGAGCTCCTGACCGGCCGCGCTCTGTTCGCGCTCCCTCTTCTCGATCAGTGCCACTTGCTCAGAGACACGGTTCGTCGCCGGCACGGGACCAGCGGACTCTCCACGGCTCGTCGTGTCCGCGCCTGGACGCCCGCTACCCGCGGTGGCATTGGCGTCAGGGGTGCTGCTGGTGCTGGCAACGTCGCCGGAGCCATGGCTCCTCCCGGTGGACACGAGACCACCGGACTCGCGCCGGCTAGTCGCGTCGGTGCCTTGGGGCCTGCTGCTCGCGGTGGCGTCAGGAGTGCTGCTGGTGCTAGCAACGTCGCCGGAGCCACGGCTTCTCGCGGCGAACACCACGACACCACCGGACTCGCGCCGGCTCGTCGCGTCGGTGCCTTGGCGCCTGCTGCTCGCGGTGGCGTCAGGAGTACTGCTGGTGCTCGCGACGTCATCGGACCCACGCGTCCCGGCCGACACGAGAGCGAGATCACCGGAACCGTGCCGGCTGCCTGTCGCGTCGGTGGCTCGGTGCCAGCTGGTCCCGACATGAGGAGGGATCGGGGTGCCGGACCTGCTGGTGCTCCCGACATGAGGAGGGGTCGGGGTGCTGGACCTGCTGGTGCTCGCGACGTCGCTGGCGTCCAAGTGCCTGCTCTGAGGAGGCAGCCCGCTCCGCGACGGCGACGCCCT